AGAGGATCCAAGAAAAGACGTGTTTTGAGAGTTATGATGGTAGCTGGTGTTGGCCGAGCTTTGGAGTCTCGGAAGCGCGCTCTGTGTTTTGTTTATCTGTATTAGAGTGGCGCAGCGGAAGCGTGGGGAAAGCAGCGTGTTAGACTGTTTGGCGTTGACGCTTGTGAGTTGGCATGATGTGTTTCGTGTGTTTTCGCTGAGGGGGTACATGGAATCAGATGGATGTTGTGCAAGTGAGAAATAATTTGACGGTTGGGGCATTGCTAGTTCGGATTGGTGAACGAGAAGCAACTCCGGGGGAAAGGAGAAACCCTTGATGAAAGTGGCTTGGAGAGGTGCTGCAAGAGGCAGTGTGATCTGGAAGTTGGAAAGCAGGATGCGAGAAGCGTATCCAGAATTGTTTCCATCAGATATTTTCGAGGACGAAAATAATTAAAGTGGGAGAGAGTTGTAACGCCCATTTTAATTATTTTTTGTTTCCGGTGTTATTTTATTCGTCGACGTGTTTTGTGTGGAAATTGATGAAGAAATAGAAGCATAGTATTAATATTGGATAATTGATAATGATAATAATTAATAATTAATATTAATGTTGATATTATTATTATTATTATTATTATTATTATTATTATTATTAATATTAATATTAATATTATGAGGTGTTAATATTATTTTGGAATTAAAAGGAATTTGTGAAAATATTATTATTGGAATTTTTGGAATTAAGAAAATGGGAGAAATACTATTAGTTGGAGGAAAACAAAATAAAAGGTGTAATATTTGGAACTAAGGGCATGTTTGGAATATTGGGAAAGGAAGGAAGAGAATAACACGCTTAGAAGCACGGTTGTAAGAAGAGAAGGACGATCAAGAGCAAGCTTGAGCAGAAGAGCGTTTGGGCTATCAATTCATGTGGATTCTTGAAGTTCTTCAACATCAAAGCTGCATGTTGTGGTAAGAGGAGGGGGGGGAATTGATCGGTTAAATGGTAAACTGCATGAATAATTGGTACAGGGGAATTCCCTATCCCCATAGATTGATGATGAATTGATGATGATTATATGCGTTAATTCTGTTATGCATTGTTGATTATTGTATTGAGACTGTTGCATGCGAAATTTGATGACTGGTTGGTTGATTTGGGGGTTTCTGGGTAATACGAGGTTTTATGCCGGAAGTTGGCTAATCGAGTCGAATTGAGAATTTATCGGGTAGAATTGATGTTAGACCTTGCAGCTAGGTAGTATATTGTTGTCTTGGCATTGTGGGAACTGAGTTGGGTGGAATCGATGGAGTTCGGAGTATGTTGTCGACTCTGAGCAGTGGCTGTATTTTTCCAGAATCGCAGACATTCGCTAGCCCATCGCTAGGCGAATACCTGGCGAGCATTCGCTAGCAGCTCGAGAAGCGAACGTGTAGCGAGCTTTGACAGTGGCTGTTTTTCTGTACTCGCTAGCAAGTTCGCTGAGCGAGGTAGTAGCGAGCACTTCCAGTAGCTCAGAAGTGTGGTTCGCGAGGAGGTTCGCTAGGCGAACGTGTAGCGAACACTCGCTAGGAGCTCGCGTAGCGAGCAGGTAGCGAGTGTAGCAGGTTTTGGTTTTTGAGAGTTGTGTGCAGCTGATGACGCTGAGTGCGATCGGGCTGATGTGCTGCGATGATATCTGAGTGTTGAGAGTATGTCGAGGGGTATGAGGGCCGTGTGGCCGACGTTTATCGCATTGGACATAATCGGTGGATTATGTGATAAGTATAGATATGTATGTGTTATGTGTGGTATATGTGGGATCCGTAGGATCGGTACACTTGATATGCGTTGTGTTTGTATGTTGTGTGAGGGATGTGGATCAGTAGGATCGACACGCCTTGAGTGCGTTGTGGTGATATGTTGTGATGAGAGGATCCGTAGGATCGATACGCTTTATATGCGTCGTGTTTATGTGTTGTTGTGACGATTGGGTCAGTAGGACCGGTATGCCTGATGTGCATGATGTGTGATGTGTTGTGTGATATTTGTATGATACATGATGAGATGTGGTCAGGGGACCGTTTGCACCGTGTGTGCTAGTGTTGCTGTGTGCATGGGGTTTGCATATGCATGTTTACAGGGTGAATCATTGCTTAGATGGAGCGTATGTGATTCACTCGCGTGCTCCAAATGGGGAGCGTGGTAGGGATAGATCATTGCTCAGAGGGAGTGGATGCGATCTACCCTGAGTGTGATTTTCCCGGTGCTCCGGAAGGGAGTGGTAGGGTTAGATCGTTGCTCAGAGGGAGTGGATGCGATCTATCCTGAGTGTGATTTACCGGGGCTCCAAATGGGGAGCGTGGTAGGGATAGATCGTTGCTCAGAGGGAGCGTATGCGATCTATCCTGAGGATGGTTGACGAACCAGTGATGTTGAGTCGGTACCGCATATCATTGTGTTGAGTTGCATGTGTTGCATTGTTGTGTGTAGTGATTGTTGATGGTGGGACAGTAGGTCCAAATGTGTTGTATATGAAATGATGTTTTATATGTTTCTGCCTTTATTTCATGTACATTTATACCGTTAATATTTGATCGTGAATTCTCACCTCTTTGCTGTTGTTGTGGTCTGTGCTTCTTCGGAAGTACAGACAATCCAGGTGTTTAGCTAGCTCGGATTATGGCGTTGTCGTACGGATTGCTCTGATACGTAACACCGGGGCTTTTGGGAGTTTTCATGTTTATTAATGATTTTGTGTGTCCCTGTGGCGTATCTTGTTGTGTTGAATATGATAATGATGTTTTGTACATTTTGGGCAGATGGCCGACTTGTTGTACATATGATGATGTTGATGACGTATATATACATATTATGTGTTTATGACAGACTTCTTTTTCCGCTGCAATTTTATTGGAAAATCATTTAAGAAATGTTTGGTGAAATTTTGGTGAAATGTGACATCCCGTTTTTGAGGGAAAAACTCTGATATGTGTTTATTTTATTTGTTTTATTTTATTTTGGGGAACGGGGTGTTACACTTCCGTGAGGGACGATATTATACAAATGACCGACCCATAGGTCAAGAATCTAGTGGAAAAGATGTGCTTAAACGAGTATCAAACTAAGAGTGAAAGGTCAGTAAAAGTTGAGACGGTAGGTAAACTCAAAGGTATGTTAACTGTTGATACTCAAACTGCATTATTATCTCAAATTGAACTATTAAATAAGCAGCTAGCTGAAAGCGGCTTAAATAAAGCTAACGTGAGCCAGGTACAAGCATTCAGGTGTGACTTTTGTGGAGGTGGACATGAAAATGGAAGGTGTTCTTTGGAAGGGTCAGGTGAAAAGGTCCAATTTGCAAATTTTCAAAAGAATAACCCTTAATCCAACACTTACAATCCATGGAGAGATCACCCGAATTTCTATTAGAGCAACAACCAAAACGAAAATGGTAACCAAGTTATGCAACAAAACTAGCAAGTGTTTAATTTCCAAAGGAAGCCTTCACGGTTTGAAGAGACTTTACAAAATTTCATGAAAGCCAATAAAAGTAGCTTGGAACAAGCTAATAAGAATCATGAGATCATGAATAGAAACCATGAGGCCTCCATCAAAAATCTGTACAGACAAATTGATCAGTTGTCTAGGCAAATAGCTGCTTTACCAAGCTCGAGTGGCAGATTCACATGTGTTATACCCCAAAATTTACCCTTGGATTGCTTGATCATTTGCATATCATCTTAGGTCAATCATCCATACATAGCTAACCGACTTATTATACGTTGTTTGTTTCACTTGTGAAGACAGTTTTACTGAAGAAGACTCAGAGATCATGAAGGCCTTGTGTGTTCTCTCTGTTCCCTACAAATGGTGTTGAGGAGCAGATACCCTCATTCTTAGGGGCCTTTAGTTAATTTGCTCTAAGATTCCCTGGAATTTCCAAGGCACTTCCCAAAGAATTAAATATTTTGGTTTCTTCAGAGCATGGTGTGGGTTTCGTGATGAGTTTTATTCTCATATTTCAAAAAAGCCTCTCAGAACATGATTCTTATACCAAGTTCATTCTCGATTGAGAGATTAACAAAGTCCATCATTTATGCTCCTTGAAATTAAGAGAATAAAGTTTTGATTTCCCTATTGTTTCAAGATTGTCAAGACGTGATTTTAGTTACAAGGCTTCCAATTTCCAAATTCACAAGTTTTGCAAGAATATGGTTTTATTTCACCATGAAGAATTCATTCTCTAAATATCCAGGTTACAAATTCAAGAGGAATTATTTAATATAACAGTATTTTCATGTGATCAAATTCATCAAGATAGAGAGGTTCACATTCTAAAGTCAAAATTCAATTCCAAAAAGTTCGAAAGATTCAACTCGAAAAGTCAAGTGTAAAGCCCAAGAAGATCCAATTCAAAATCAAAAAGCTTAAAGTCAAAGAGAAGATCACCTTGGATATTTAGAATTTATCATTTAAATCAATATTCAATTCACAAAATGTATATTCAAGTGACGAGTCCAAGATTGTTAATATATGCCAAATCACAAATACAAATTCTTTGATATTATGAAGAAATATGTGAACATGCTTTGTTTGGATAAAAGGTTACATGACACAAGCTTGCTGCAAATATCTCCGTTGTGAAAAAGCTTATAATTTTGGTTGATTTTGTTACATCCCAAAATGATAATTATTTGGGTAGCAGAGTTCTTTACATTACAAGAAAATCAAAAACTATGATATACATTATAGAGGAGATTTCACATATGATGTCGTGTCGTGTTTATCGTATGATGCTTTAGCCTTTGATTTAGAATGGCCTACAGGAATAAGTACACCAATGGGTCACGACGACTGTTCGATTAAAAGTTGATTCCATGTTGCTGAAATTCCAATACTTTGGTTCATTAGTTCATGCTAAAGATGCTACCACACCATAGTAATAGAATCTCTTCGGTAAGCATATCGTTCACAACAATTCGAAGAATTTGTTTTCTCAAATGCAACCGTGGTCGAACCTGAATACCAATCAATCCTAAAAAATCTCCATTGAAAGCTCTAATTTAAGCATAAATAGGTGACTACAGTAAAGGTTGATGCTCAATAAGCTGACAAAGAGACAACATAATTTCTCCATTATTGATGAACTGCTGCGAATTGACACAAAGCTCTCATATAAAAAGACTTCTAGTTCATCTTGTCCATAATTTTCTTGTTTACCTGATGATGTCGCATATGAATCTAATAAGCTCGATAAGGAACATATGAAAGAAAATGAAACAATTTGAAAAGAGAGAGCAAAGAAAAGTAAGGCTCATTACGGTGTAGTTCGTCTGGTTTTGCACATGGCCTTTGCATTTTAAAGATACTAATGCATACAACACCGAATTTCAGACGTTTTGCATACCTCTCGTACCAAGTTTCATGCGCTGAATATGAAAAAGAAGGAAGAATGTTAGAGCAGGGTATTTACCTAATCCAAACAAAATCAATTCAAAATTAGGAGTACAAGCAAAATGAATAATATTCAGGTATGAAGGTCGACTAGAAGTGATTGGCAAAGTGTTAACATAAAGGGCATAATGTACATCAAGCTATGCGAATGCAAAGGATAAACATTTGTTGATATCCACATGTTCCTGATACATAAGGAATGACACAAAGTGTTAGAATATTGAAAACATTACCACATGGAAATTAGGCAGCAGCAGTCACCTTCACCGACACCTTGAAGAAACTTTTGTTTCTAATGGAGATAACACTTTCCTCAAATCATCTCTCAAGAAGGCGTCATTGCAAAAAAGAGTAGGTTTGAATTCATGACAAATGAAAAAAGGAAATTCATTAATCCATTCCAAATCAGCCACTATTAAATTATCACAGGCATAATGATTTGGACAATGAAAGAGATTCAAAGTAGTATGTGAGTATGTTGAAATCAAAACAGCAACAAGATCATTGTCATAAAGTCATTTTCCCACATAATCAAGTTCTCAAATTCTCATTGAACATTAGCATTCAACGTGCTTTCCAAAACAATTACTGAAAAAATCAATTGAGAAAGGTAATACACTCATCAAGCAGACAAACTGGTCTAAATTGCATTTAGTTTCGAACTATCGTCTGGGCTATAAAAAGAGAAGAAATTCACCAGAACGGGGGGATACGAGTTGTCAACAAGCAAAATTTCACAGAAAAAAATCACATACAGTTCATACATAAAAATTAAGCAGAAGATACATACAAACTTCAAAGCCTTGAGGGGTTATCAGTACAATTCAGAAGAAGAACAACAGTATGTACATAGAATAAAGCGGAAAAGAAGAGTTTAGAATCGATCAGAAAACTTGAAGATAAAGTTCGAAATTCATACCTTGACTCTATTTGAGGTAAGTCTCTCTTCAATCATTCCTCCTCTTGTTGTGATACCGTTGAATCCCGTCGTGAATCGAAAATCCATCGGCCATGATTTCGTGCGTGAATCCACCTTTGAAATACGCGATAACCATTCCCTAACACCCACCATTTTCAACCGTGAAAGGTGAAACTTCGCGATATGTGAAAACAAAAGGAGAAGAGCTTGTGCGAAAGCATTGAGAGGGAAAGAGACAAAAGAAGACTGTTGGTTTAGTGAGACACGAAGGAGAAACAAAGTCACGAGCGAGTGAATGCAAGAAAGCTGAGAGGGGAATGAAAGAGAGAAAAGAGAATAAGGAAAGTGATGAAGGAGAGAGATGAGGTGAGAGACTGAAAGACTCGTTTGGTTTTGGGGCTAGGGTTTCTCATTTGAGTTGGATCGTGCTTTGCACTTCGGGTCAGATGATCCACCCGATTCCTTTCCAACCGACCCTACTTTTTCTTGCTTTTTCAGTTTTTGTTCTTTTTGTTATGTTTTTTAGGAAATGGGCCTTAGGCTCATGTTGGTTTATAACAAAAACTCTTTTTTATTTATTTAATTAAGTTGAAGTTTGTTTTAAATATTTATTTAATATTGATTGTTAATTAAGTTTTAATTTATTTAACTTCAAAATTAAATCTTAATTTAATTAATTAATTGTAAATAGAATTTCACAAATTCTATTTTTGGGGTCATATAATCCGTTGTGACCCAGATCTTTATTGTTTTGATATCTAGATATGGCTTTATGGTAGTGTCCAGCCACGACAATCATCATCCATCATTGATTCGACTAATTTGACTCGGTATTTTATATATCATGTGGTTATCTGTTCATTTATATGCTTTTATTTACACGTTTGCTTATCTTCAGTTTAGTACTCCAAAGGAAAAGATCACCTCCCATTTGACTGCCAAGTCAATATAAACTCTAAGTCCTTACCCTTATCCTAGCCTTAGGATCGGAGTCTTCATACTCCACGCGAACGTCCTACCATGGACATTCAATTACCTTCCGTTTATCCTAGTCATAGGATCAGGAGTCGCCGCACTCCATGTAAGTTCCTGCCATGGATACTTACATACCTTTCAACATTCAACGTAGACTCAGAGTCGCCGCACTCCATGTAAGTGTCTCACTATGAACAATTATTTCCCCTTGGAATCTTGACCACAGTCAAGAGTTCCTCACCCTCTTTGAGAGAAACTACAAATACTCTAATTCCATTCCCGTCAGGATACGTAGGCACGAGATGCGATGTCTTGGCGAGCATACTTAGGACTAACCCCTTAGGTCTTCTTTCAACCCTTTAACATATAATAAATAACACAAATAAACCAAGAGGTTCTTGTAGAATACTATAGATGCTTAGGATGCTAACACCTTCCCTAAGTATAACCAACCCCCGAACCTTGGATGTCCCGCATTATTTTTACAGTGCAGTTAGGTTTTTTCGTTCTTTGACCTTTCCTTTGGATAAATCAAAGCTCGGTGGTGAACGTCAAGATTTGAGATTCAAGTTAACCAATAGCTTGACATCTGATTCTCACTGCAACAACAAGTAATACAATAAATAATCCTAAGAATGAATCGTGCAAGGTTGTGGACACAGGTTTTGAGGTAACTATTGATAATAGTAAGGATGAAATAGTGGGAGAGGTGATTATGGACAAGGAAAACGAACCTTAAGGCGACCAAGAAGAGAGAGGATTCACTACTGACCAGTTAATAGACAAAAACTCTCCATGGAGAAAAACAAAGAAGAAAATCTTTAATGATTCAAATCCTCCACTACATGAATACATTAAGGCACCATATCCTATAATCAAGAAGAAAAAAACCTTCACGAAGATGAGGCAGGAATGTTTTACAATTTTAAGGTGATGCTCAAGACACTGTAGGTAAGTATCTCTTTCCAGGAGGTTTTAAAACTTATGCCTAAATTTGTTAAATTTATGAAGGCACTACTCAAGGGCACCAAGCAAAAGGTGGAGAACGCACAAGTCAATATGACTAAAAAAGATGACAATCCCATGCCTAAAACATTTCCATCAAAGCTAAAGGATCCAGGAAAGTTCTCTATATCTTGTAAAATTGGTGGGGTAGAGATCCCACATGCCTTATGTGATTTAGGCTCGAGCATAAATGTGATTCCACTAGATAAAGTTAAAGAATGTGACTTAGGAGAGATCATACTAAGCGATATAACTCTTGCTTTAGCTGACTCATCGGTTACCCACCCGGTCAGTGTTATACAAGATGTACTTATTCATGTCGATGATTTGACCTTCCCTGCAGATTTTGTAGTGATTGACATGAAAAATAAGTTGGAAGGATCAGTGATTCTTGAAAGATCACTTTTAGCAACTGAGAGAGCAAAAATAGGTATGGAGAAAGGTGAATTGATTTTGAAGTTTAACAAGGAGAATGTTGTGTTTAATGCATATAAATGAACACCATATGCAGAAGATCTTGAGACATGCTACAAATTGGGAGAAAAAGGTAGTGAAGTTCACAAAAAAGTGAACAAAGGAGATTTTACCGGCATAAGGGTAACCCTTGATCCTGACGTGTTTTGACCATGAGTCATCAAGCTATGTTGCTAAGGATGTTGCTAAGGGTATTTTTCTTTCTAGGAATGCTTCAAAAGAAGAAGGAAATGGTTTATAAATAAAGTACTCATCAAGGATTGAGGCCCTCGTGCCTACGTACCCACATGGTGCAATGAGGAAATCAGAGCATCGTAGTTCGCGGAACTAAACGCGGAAAAAAAAGATTGAAAGAAGGTTGCTCACCAAGATCTCACAATCTTGTGCCTACTATCTTTATTTACCAATGAAGAATCAAAGTGTTCGTAGTTCGTGGAACCACAAGTTTGTTGCTTTTAATGGACGACATTAACGTTCACATTCTAGCAATAGGTTTTGTCACTCGCACGTAGGAGACTTATGCTTTATCCTATTATGCGGTAGGATGGAAATAATGTCCCCTTTTTGAAAAGGCTTAGGTTTTCGCCATCAAGTTAAGATGTCACATTTGATTTGTGATGATTGATTTTAGGGGTGAAATAAGTCCTCGAATAGGAACCCCTGTGGGTAGTACCTGACTTTTTATCTCAAAAGATTTAATTTGAAAATGGTGTGGCGAATATAGTCATGTCTTTGTATTGAAAGACAAGTATCGAGACCAGACACTCTAAAGTGAGCATCATAATACTCAGATAGGGAGAAGTCTTCACATAATCATCTCTCTTTAGTTCAATACAAAGAGAATCTCATTCTCGTATTTAAGAGGTATTTTACTTTGGGTGGTACGTGTTTTTAGATAGTGAACCCTAAAGGTAGTTTCAAACACTCGAGATAGGACAAGGCCTTCGCCTAACAACTCCACAACCATCCAAATTTATTAAGAAAAGAGTTTTAAAATGTACTTGGTACAAGACCAAGGTTTTTGCTTAGGAAGAGAAGATGATGAAAGAGGGAGAAATGAAAGGATGAGAGCATACAAGGTTTGCTTGGGTTTAATGGAATGATAGGATAAGGGTAAATAAGAAGAGGTGGAGGAACCCTAAGGGGAGATATTGTAACACCCCACTTCCTAAATCAAATAAAAATGCGAAATAAATCAATTAGAAATATCAGAGTTTCTCTTCCAAAAGTGGGATATTACTTTTCACAAAAATTTCCACAAAATATTTCATTAAAAGATTTTCAAAATAAGCAGCGGAAAAGAAATTTGTCACAACATATATACATATATGTACATCAGCTCATACATCAAGTTTGGTCATCAGCCCAAAATATACAAAACATCATCAATAGAATCCATCATCAAAACATGATACGACACGGAGTATAAACAAAATCATCAGATAGGCAATAAACTCCCTAAAGCCCCGTGTTACGTATCAGAGCATCCTAGACTCGATCAGCACACCACTATCCAACTAGCTAAACACCT